ATCCTGCCTTTGTTGTTATTTCTTACTAAGTTCACCTTGTGTATATATGGGTAAAGAGCGGGCCCAGCTATAGCTAAGTGAGATCCCGCCCCTTTAGCCGGAGATCTTGCTTCAGGAAAAGTGACCTTAAGTCTGTAGCCCCTAACCCCGGGCATCCAGCCTCACCCCCATATAAACATCCTCTTATTACATATCTCAAAAAGTATATGTACAGTCTATTAAATTTTCAGGATTTAATTTTTGGGCATCTACACTTGATACTGCATAACTAATATTTATATCCAGTATGTGCTTGTAAACCATGTGGACAATTCAGGTAACAAATCATGAAATATGCCCCATGCCCCTTGTGAATCTGGAGAATCATTCCAATGGCTAGTTCACAATATGTTCAACTCTAGCCTTTGGCAACTAGCTGTTTTTCTTTACTAGCAGATCATGTATACATGGATAAAATAAGAGAAATCTATTTACCCGTTTTACAGATTAATTTAATTGTTTATATAATCATACTTGAAATTCGGATGAATATCTTTATCTTCACACTGTATAACAGCAACTTTTTCTCATTAATTTACAGTAACTTTCTAAATTCAGATATTCTCACATGGGACAAATACTTTAGTATCGTTGTATTGTTTACGAATTAAAATATTAAATTGATTTCATAAACTTCAAGAATTCCTTGGGAATTCTTAAGGAATTCCTTTAAAATTCCGTGATAATACATGTGATTGTCTATAGTAAGGAAATATTAAAGGAATTTCAGAGGAAATTTTAGAATTTAGATAGTTGCAATCATGGGTGAGCACATATTTTGTGAAACTGTTTCAAAATAAAATTGCATTTTAATTAATAAAAAAATGCAAGAATGTGAAAGAAACCAAATTATATACAGTGAAACTTTAAAGTGGGAAAGAGATGGTGAAGTACGGTTAGTGTTCTAAAATATTGAAGCATATGGTTAAAAAAATAAATATATGTTTATGCATGCATGGGACTAGCATATTGCACTATCTCGTGAAAAGGGAATATAGCGTTGAATACAAACTATAAAAACCCATTCATATTTAAATTTTACAAGTAGACAAATTTTAAGCCTTCAGATAACTATAATTCTTTATATAGTACCTTAATTGCTATTGTAGGGCTAACCCATAATAAAGGCATGACTGTTGTGTGCATTAATTACTCCACAAGAAATAAGGGGCAAGGGATATTGGTAAACAAGTATTACCAATCAATCCTATTCCCTTTTAATTATAATGTCCACTGTGGTCAAAGCACCCTATAATAATAATTATTTACTCTCTAACAGCAGATGATCTTACTCATCAAGGGCAATTTTGTTACAAAATACTAAACTGTTTCATTACATATTTTATGTCTGAACCTTTGACATTGCAACAAAATAGGTTTGGGTGGGGTAAAAAAATTTTCTGGCATTCCACCGGTGGGGTAGCTAGAAATTTTGTTTCGAAAAAGGTGGGGTAATGATTTTTTCCGGCTTCATTTTACTTTCTCTTCGGCCCCAACCCCTGCCATAAATAATGACCGGTCCCTTAGACAACACAAACAGACAAAACATAAAAAAAAAAAGAAAAAAAAAGAGATCAGAATACGTGAAGAGGGATTGAACTGCCTTGAACGTTGAGAGAGGGTTTCATTTTAGAGATAAAAAAGCTTTCGTGAATAAGGAGTTCTTGTTCATCTGAACAAGAGGAGAGGATTTCGAAGTCGTCAATAGAAGCAGCGTGGCCTGTGGATGTGAGATGTGAGAAAATGCTGGACAGGGGAGGATTTTTACATTGTTTGCCAGTGATAGGAGTGATACCCAGATGTTCCGAAACTCGGGTGTGTAGATGGCGCGTGGTTTGACCCACATACGATGCGGAACAGCATCGACACGTAAAAGAGTACACTACACCCGACTTCAGTGCTTTGGGTATTTTGTCCTTAAAAGAGAAAAAGGTTGAGAGCCGTTTAGTTGATCGAAAGACACATCTTATATCAAGATGTGGTAAAGCAGCACGACAAAGACGGTTGATTTGCGTGCGAATTTGCAAGGAGTGAGTGCCCGTAAAAGGGAGACAGAAATAAATTATTTTCTTAGGAACAGTATGAACAGGTAGCTTAGGTTGAAATACTTTGTTAAGAAAAGTTCTAACACATCGGTCGAACATATGAGAAGGGAAACCATTTAAGATAAACATTCTACGTGCTGCTTCAAGTTGGTGATGGAAAGTCTCATAGCTAGAACAAATGCTAAAGATGCGGTGTATTAAGCAAGATATTATGCTGCGTTTGTATGTAAGTGGAATGAAGCTATGGAAGTTAGTAAAAAGACCAGTAAACGTAGGTTTACGGTAAACAGAAGTAGAAAATTTTCCATTGGAGCGGGATATGTCAATGTCAAGAAATGGGAGCTTACCATCACGTTCAACCTCACTAGTGAAGCGAATGTTGGTGTGCTGGCGATTAAGATATGTGAGAAAGAGCTGTACATGCTCTGAGCAACGGAAAAGTAGGAAACAATCGTCAACATATCGTCTATAGAGAAGTGGTTTGAAAGACGAAGGACAGTTGTGAAGCCAATCCTTTTCGTGAAAGGACATAAATATGTTAGCAAACAAAGGTCCTAAAGGACTACCCATAGCTACGCCGTCAACTTGATGATATAAACGACCATTGAACACGAAATGACAATTTTTGACAGAAAGACTTAAGAGTTTAGTAAAATCAGAACGAGTGAGGCCATGAAATCTACAACAGTTAGAAAACAAACGATTAGTAATTATCTCAATCGTTTCATCAACAGGGATGTTAGTAAAGAGTGAAGTAACATCAAAACTAGCCATTATAACATTACTCGTAACAAGATCAGAAGAAAGAAGTTCCTGGACGAAAGAGAAGGAATCCTTAATGACACAAGTGCTGGTCGAGATGGGAGTGAGAAGAGGAATAAAGAATTTAGCAATATTATACGAATAATGATTAATGCAAGAAAGGATAGGCCTAAGTGGGATATTACATTTGTGTTTTAGGTAGTCCATACAGGATGCCTAAGCGTGAACCTGTAGGATACAGTTCATTGTAAGTTTTTTGATCAATTGATTCAGACGCTTTCAGATTTTTCAGCAGAGTCTTGACAAGATTTTCGCGCTGTAGTGTTGCTTTGACAGGATCTTCATTCAAGAGTTCAAATTTCGTGTTATCAGACAGGATTTCCTCCATTTTTTTGTTGTAATCATCTTTGTTTAGAATAACAACGCCGTTACCTTTATCAGGTCTCATTATCACGATGTTACTGTCTTTTCGTAAGTCATTTAGCATGTTGATCTCTTCTTTCGAGTATAAGAAATTCGGCCGACTATAGCTCCGGAAACCAGAATGAGCTATGTCTTTTATTCGGGTCTTAATAAATGCCGGGTAAAATCCAGAATGTTCATAAACCGGTTCTCGTTTAAGTTGAGAGAACAGTCTTTCAAATGGCGCAAAGAAACCGCACGGATTAAGCTTGGCAGGCGGAATGGCAAAGTTCAAACCTTTCGAAAGAATCTCCTTCTGTTTATCTTATGTGTCTTTCGATCAACTAAACGGCTCTCAACCTTTTTCTCTTTTAAGGACAAAATACCCAAAGCACTGAAGTCGGGTGTAGTGTACTCTTTTACGTGTCGATGCTGTTCCGCATCGTATGTGGGTCAAACCACGCGCCATCTACACACCCGAGTTTCGGAACATCTGGGTATCACTCCTATCACTGGCAAACAATGTAAAAATCCTCCCCAGTCCAGCATTTTCTCACATCTCACATCCACAGGCCACGCTGCTTCTATTGACGACTTCGAAATCCTCTCCTCTTGTTCAGATGAACAAGAACTCCTTATTCATGAAAGCTTTTTTATCTCTAAAATGAAACCCTCTCTCAACGTTCAAGGCAGTTCAATCCCTCTTCACGTATTCTAATCTCTTTTTTTTTTTTTTTATGTTTTGTCGTATTGTGTTGTCTAATTTGGTTGTTCTCATTTTTGTTCGTCACTTCCCTTCATTATCCATTCTTATCCTTACGTTTTGTGTACCTCGTATTCGCTTGTAATTTAATATTGCTATAATAGCTTTACTTTATGCTTAATTACTCTTACAGCTTGTAATTTAATATAGTCTGAAGATGTCTTGAGTTAAGACGAAACGTTACTTAATCTTTAATAAAATTTTTAAATTTAATGGTTTATGGCTCTTTTAAAAGCACTTTGCTGGGCATTAATATTTATTATCAGAATTCGTTTCCCGCCTGGTACTTCTCTGGTAACAATTTTGAATAACCGCTACAATAATGGAGCACTTGAAGCTTTCAGAAAATTTCAACGCTTGGAGCTCAAGTTGGGTAAAGCCAAACTAGATCTTGAATTTTTGAAAGCATGCAAAAATGGCTCGGTAATACCACGATTCCTGTGGTTCAAGGTTGCGAATCGCCGTTTGCGGAAATCCAGCGCCTACAGACAATGTCAAAACAAACTGTTACAAGATGAAATCAACGCCAAACACGCAAGAATACGAATATTATCAGCGCAAGTAACAACAACACACGCGAACCTGGCTTCACTTGTTTCTACGCTTGATTTTATTCACCTAAAGAACATTTCCGATCGTGAAAATTCAAAGAAATTGAACCAGCATCAACGTGTTCAAGATCGAAAGTTATTTCGCCTAAACGCTGAGCAAAAACACTCAAACACAATAGATCCGAATGCAGTGGTGTTCAATTTCTCAAACCGACTCATCACAGTGAAAGAGAAGGAGATTCTTTCGAAAGGTTTGAACTTTGCCATTCCGCCTGCCAAGCTTAATCCGTGCGGTTTCTTTGCGCCATTTGAAAGACTGTTCTCTCAACTTAAACGAGAACCGGTTTATGAACATTCTGGATTTTACGCGGCATTTATTAAGACCCGAATAAAAGACATAGCTCATTCTGGTTTTCGGAGCTATAGTCGGCCGAATTTCTTATACTCGAAAGAAGAGATCAACATGCTAAATGACTTACGAAAAGACAGTAACATCGTGATAATGAGACCTGATAAAGGTAACGGCGTTGTTATTCTAAACAAAGATGATTACAACAAAAAGTGGAGGAAATCCTGTCTGATAACACGAAATTTGAACTCTTGAATGAAGATCCTGTCAAAGCAACACTACAGCGCGAAAATCTTGTCAAGACTCTGCTGAAAAATCTGAAAGCGTCTGAATCAATTGATCAAAAAACTTACAATGAACTGTATCCTACAGGTTCACGCTTAGGCATCCTGTATGGACTACCTAAAACACATAAATGTAATATCCCACTTAGGCCTATCCTTTCTTGCATTAATCATTATTCGTATAATATTGCTAAATTATTTATTCCTCTTCTCACTCCCATCTCGACCAGCACTTATGTCATTAAGGATTCCTTCTCTTTCGTCCAGGAACTTCTTTCTTCTGATCTTGATACGAGTAATGTTATAATGGCTAGTTTTGATGTTACTTCACTCTTTCCTAACATCCCTGTTGATGAAACGATTGAGATAATTACTAATCGTTTGTTTTCTAACTGTTGTAGATTTCATGGCCTCACTCGTTCTGATTTTACTAAACTCTTAAGTCTTTCTGTCAAAAATTGTCATTTCGTGTTCAATGGTCGTTTATATCATCAAGTTGACGGCGTAGCTATGGGTAGTCCTTTAGGACCTTTGTTTGCTAACATATTTATGTCCTTTCACGAAAAGGATTGGCTTCACAACTGTCCTTCGTCTTTCAAACTACTTCTCTATAGACGATATGTTGACGATTGTTTCCTACTTTTCCGTTGCTCAGAGCATGTACAGCTCTTTCTCACATATCTTAATCGCCAGCACACCAACATTCGCTTCACTAGTGAGGTTGAACGTGATGGTAAGCTCCCGTTTCTTGACATTGACATATCCCGCTCCAATGGAAAATTTTCTACTTCTGTTTACCGTAAACCTACGTTTACTGGTCTTTTTACTAACTTCCATAGCTTCATTCCACTTACATACAAACGCAGCATAATATCTTGCTTAATACACCGCATCTTTAGCATTTGTTCTAGCTATGAGACTTTCCATCACCAACTTGAAGCAGCGCGTAGAATGTTTATCTTAAATGGTTTCCCTTCTCATATGTTCGACCGATGTGTTAGAACTTTTCTTAACAAAGTATTTCAACCTAAGCTACCTGTTCATACTGTTCCTAAGAAAATAATTTATTTCTGTCTTCCTTTTACGGGCACTCACTCCTTGCAAATTCGCACGCAAATCAACCGTCTTTGTCGTGCTGCTTTCCCACATCTTGATATAAGATTTGTCTTTCGATCAACTAAACGGCTCTCAACCTTTTTCTCTTTTAAGGACAAAATACCCAAAGCACTGAAGTCGGGTTTAGTGTACTCTTTTACGTGTCGATGCTGTTCCGCATCGTATGTGGGTCAAACCACGCGCCATCTACACACCCGAGTTTCGGAACATCTGGGTATCACTCCTATCACTGGCAAACAATGTAAAAATCCTCCCAGTCCAGCATTTTCTCACATCTCACATCCACAGGCCACGCTGCTTCTATTGACGACTTCGAAATCCTCTCCTCTTGTTCAGATGAACAAGAACTCCTTATTCATGAAAGCTTTTTTATCTCTAAAATGAAACCTTCTCTCATGTTTTGTCTGTTTGTGTTGTCTAATTTGGTTGTTCTCATTTTTGTTCGTCACTTCCCTTCATTATCCATTCTTATCCTTACGTTTTGTGTACCTCGTATTCGCTTGTAATTTAATATTGCTATAATAGCTTTACTTTATGCTTAATTACTCTTACAGCTTGTAATTTAATATAGTCTGAAGATGTCTTGAGTTAAGACGAAACGTTACTTAATCTTTAATAAAATTTTTAAATTTAATGGTTTATGGCTCTTTTAAAAGCACTTTGCTGGGCATTAATATTTATTGTTAGAATTCAAATAATTGATATATATATATATAATCTGTTTTATCCAGTTGGACTGAAATTGTAAGAAATTCCTTAAAAAGTGGGGTTCCTTGGATTTGTCCTTTAAAGCTTGCAAATTTCCTTGTTTTAAGAAAATCTCGTTAAATGTGAGAGCGCTGAAATTAACGTGTTTTCATGGCAAGACTGACGTAACGTGAGCCTGCGTTCAGTTTGGCTATTTACTTCATGTTATATCAATGCTTGGAAAATATAGGCGAGGGGTTGCTGCATGCCTGTATTTCTAGTAATCAATATATACTAATCACAAAGCCCGTTCATATAGCCTTTTATAGGTATGAACTGACCCAAACTTTGGGTGGGGATCATGATCCAGAACTCCCACCGTTAAAGGCACTCTTCATTCACAAATATACAGCAATTTTAAAGCACTTTATTTTCATTTCCAGCTAAAATTAATAATACAATATTTTTTGTAATAATCTCATAATGAGATCCTTTAATCTGTTGACATCTAAACAAATATAAAAACGAACAATGGTGTAAACTGAGCCAAATTTAACCTTGGCAGCGAATACTTATTTGCTAATTTTTATCTGGGGATTGATCAAGTCATGCGGATTTGTGCGAAAGGACCCAGTATATAGAATAGGAGTAAACCGAAGATATGTGGAAGACAATAAAGATATTTAAATCACTTTTAGCAATGTTTGACAAAGTTGCGACATTAACTGTACTTAATTAAAGAAGTTGGAACAAACTCAGTTGGAGGGAACCAGTACGTGTTATTCATTCCGGGATATCTATATCACTGAAATTAGTTAATTTATTTAATTTAATCTAAACGTAAATGTCAGTAGTAGCAAATGAAGTACTAATTTTTTTACCGACATGGCTGAATTCAAACATACGTAGAAGAGGCTCTCAGGGACGTCGTTAAGACATCAACATTGGCGGGGGGGGGTCGTCATGTTTTGATCAACTTTTCCTAGAAATTTGACCAAGTAGTAGAAATACTTCCCGAAAATGTTGTCGACGGGGAGGGGGTCAAAACATTTTCCGCACTAACATAAGCAGAGCTTCAAATATTTTTCGACCAAAATAAGCAAGGCTTGCAATTGTTTCAGCGCAAACATGACCAAAGCTTAGAAATTGTTAAAATTGGGAATAATTTCATATCTTTGACCATCTTTTGTCACAAACTTTGACCAAAAATTTTACCAACTTTGACATTCAATTTTAAGCAAATATTAGTTCCATTTTGACCAAATTTTACCATTTTGAATTATTGGGGGTGTGTTACAACCCACACCCCCTCCTGTAGCGACGTCTCTGGAGGCTCTCTCCCCCTTAGAGCCTCCTTACGTATTTTCAAATTACTTACCTGAAATTTCGAGAATAAACGTGAGCGCGCGCGAAGTGATGGGAAGATTGAAATGAAGTCGAGAAGGCTCTGTCAGATAATGCTAAAAGGTATGGTAAAAGGTATGGTTGTTTGACTTTTTTAAACTTGAAATCTACGGAAATATGGAAGAAATTGAAATAAATCTTCATAATCTGAATATCGAAGGTCAGTAGAGTTTTCTAAAGAAATGCTGCAATTTAGAACATAGTCATATTTATAATTAGATAGGTCATATCCATTTGTATTCATTTGCTATTTCGCAAAAGTTTTATGTGCAAATTGTCGGAAGAAGATATTGATATTGGACTCACTCCAGGAGAAGTACGCCTGAAAAGGAAAGCCGAAAACATGTTTTAACACCCTCGAAGTTGATATCGAACCGAACTCCAAACGATTACATACGACGCGATATTGATTGCAGTAACTAGCAGAGGATTCCTTTACTTCGCTCTTCCCATCACTCCTTAATGTGTGCTCACTTTTTCCTCACTAGAAACTTCATGTAAGCCTCTGCAGAGGAGAGAGTAGAAGAGGATCATAAAGAAAAACAGGACATTACGCACTCTTGGGAATGTCTTGTCAATGTTGGATTTACAGTAACAATAGTGGTCCTCGATCTGTTGTCAAAAACTTTTATTTAGGGTATAATAAAACAAGACATAACATATTTCCTATAGATGGGTTGTTAGTGAATGACCTATAAAACTCTCATGTCAACAGTTTTTTGTTGATCCCCAGTTAGCGTGTACAGGTTATCGGAGAGATAAAGAAATAGAAGGTATATTCAGACGAAATGGTAAGTTTAAAAACTACTATTCTGGTCGTGTTGTTGAAGCCGAAATGTAAATTGCGACCCTAGACAACCCGACCACTCTTCTGCATGCAATAACCACCACCGCATACATGTACATGGTATTTCCAAAGAACATCCTTAGTACCATAATTAACAGTTCCACTGAAATAACATGTCCAAGAGATGTTAAAATTGTGCATGCATATAACGCCAATAGAACAATGAACCCCAATTACCAGGTCCCATTTATATAGAGCAGTATATTCAAAGAGACACATAAACTAAACTGCGGCGGGCATTCGTTACCAATGCTCCACTCCAAAATTTGCTGTTTGCATGGTTATGGCTATAAGGATGAATAATAAAAAGAATACTTACCAGGCATTAATAATATGATTTCAATTCACAGTTCGTTCCAAAAAACCCGACCGGACAGCTGCAGCTGTAACCATTGATGATGTTTACAGAACACAAACCACCATTATAACATGGTGCTGATAGACACGGTTGGTCTAAACGGGAATGGAAAGTATGTATAATATGTATCTTAATTCATTAATGAAACAACATATAAATTTATTATTAAATTCAATTTCCTTATTATTAAAGGCACATGAAGAAAATGATTATTTCCTTATTAAACGAAAGAACTTTTATAAATTATAAAGTGGATTCTTTTGAAGATTTTAGTTTCCGTACTTCGTTGATATTTCAATCACAAACATCATTGTTAATGCCTGGAAACTTGATAAAGCATTAGTAATACCGGATACCTGATGGATCAGTAGTTCATTCCTAACTGGACTGGATCACAATTAATTCACCTCAGACATTCGGACTTAATTAAACGGACATCGATATCCAATCCTTGTAATTAGCTCATTCCTTCGCGTTCCCTCGGAACTAATTGCTTGGATTGGATATCCGGCAAAGTCGGATTTGATATATTAAAGAAAAGATAACTTATGTTTCGCTTATTCGTATAATTAAGATTATTCGAACGAAAATCATATGTTTATTATGGAAAATCACAGGTTATAGGCCATGTTTCAAATGATTTCATTTTTCAACAAATCGTGCACAGATCAGATTCTTTTCCCAGGAGCATGGTATTCGGCACACAATGCCACCGCCACAGAGTAGACCGCGAGCAGTCCCTCGGGAGAAAGGACTGCCGACAACACATCAAGAAACGAAATACACGTTGCCCACACGACGCAAAATTCCCATTGGTCGAAATCGATATGCCTGATATGTAGTAATTATGCTATAAATAATTTCCAGACTGAATGTTGATTTTATAAATAGACATGATATTAAAGGTTCCGATTGAATAGACTTAATTGGATATTAGTGATGTTTATGCAAAGGGGAGGCACCTTCACAAGAGCGAAAAGTGGGCGTATTTCGTTTCTTTTTGAACGTAAGTAACCCAATGAATTTGATATTGTCAACAAAACTACAACTTTCCCAAGCACTATTTTCAATTTCCATCTCAACGTGCAAGACAGGTGTTTTCCGTGGGTGAAGTATCACGGGTTGCGGGTGACACATCGCTTGTTTCGTTGGTCATGGAAGCTAAACCCATGGAAAGGAGGGGCCGCTCACAGTCTACCACCGAGGGAACTCGACCGTGCTCATACCCAGTCTATTGCCTAAATTCATCGAAGCCAATATGGCGGGTGCAGCAGGAAATATTTATAGTGCAGACATGACCACGATGTCAAAAATCTAACTCGAAGTCGACGTTACTAGCTAAGACATCAACGATGCGGTGAACACCAAAAATTACGTCCACGTATTCCGCACGTGGGTCGCCAAAGTTGAAAACCCCTTTCAAATATCAAGAAAGGATTAGCTAAGAATGAAGGCCAATGCAATGTATGTCTTTTGCTTGGGATATTTTGCAGAAAACAGCCCTGCGAGATGAAATATCCCTCGGGCTACGCCCTTCCAAAACAATGATAACCAAAAATTCATATATAAACACTGTATAGCTTTGGTATTATTACGTGGGATTCAAAATCTAAATTCTCTCCCTAGTGCAGCTTTGTTCGTCAAATCCTGTGTGTTGATGGATGATGCTTCACTTTGTGTGTACAGACATGGATACAATAATAGGACGATTTAAAATCTAGAAATTTAGAAGACTTACTACAGGCTTTGTGTTCAGGTCTGCTCTTCCAAGGAATATGGATGCCAAGCATGGCACATTCATCTGCATACGCATCGTATTCTTCACATAAGCAGGCTTCTGGTTGGTGGAAACATCGACAGACATCATATTGACAATTCTGGACAGCTTTCGTTGGATGTAGCAGGTGATGGCACATGGTAAATGGGTCATTCAGCAGTTTTTTGCAGTGAGCCTTAACGGAAAGCGAAAAGTTGATGTAAACGTCAAAGCATGCCCCTTTACCTCTAAGATTGTGAGTTAAGCCCATTTTCCATTAGGCGAATTTGTTCGCGCGAACAGTAAGAAAGTAGCAACTGATCCAACAGTTTGTGGCAAATTTTTTCGCTGACCAATAACATTGCCAAGATTTGTTATAGTGGAAAATGGGCTGTAAATGCTATCCAGCAGCCTTTTAAAAATCACCAAATCATACTATCAATAAGACACGCTATGAGAGGCGAAGCTAACCCATGGCAACTGGTCCTGCTATGCTTACAAACGCACACTTAGATAGGCTGCCTAAAGATAATACCATTCTACACGTTGGTATAATTTTTAATTAATTTAAAATTTTCATAGCATGATCAATTGCAAAATATCTACAAATTCTGCCAAATGAATATTTCAAGTGATCTTGGCTGGTTCGTTCGAGCTTCTATCAAACAGTATACGAAAAACCTACAAACGGTACTAAATATTTTACAACCTAAGTTGTGAAAGATTTTAACAAATTTTAATTCTCGTCAATTTTATATTTGTTGGTTTCATATTGACAATTAGTTTTCTCTGACGATATTTCTTGATCCCTGTGATAAATGTGCTGCTTGAACAAAGTATATTTTATACATAAATTAGCTATATTTTATTATATTAATTCTTAAGTCAATGTGGTTTCGTTCAATCTGATTTGCTCTTAGCTGTGCGATTTTAGCACAAATCGCACTTTGGGGAGAGCGATTTCAAAACTTAACATTGTGACGACGATAAATAATTTCTAGGAATCAGCTGTTGTTTTTTATACTTGCTTGCATGTTTCTTCCAGCATTGTCCAGGGTGGAGAGGGAGAGATGGTGTTACTACAGTATGTTAAGCAGTATTTGGAAATGTGCAGTTATCTATATTGTACGTATATCACTATCCAAAAGCTTCTTGTCACTGATTGTATTTTTACCTCCGCAAAGTTCTTGAGTTCGACATCATGTGCACATGGACTTGGACCAGGAGGCTGAGGTTTGGGACAGGTGTTGCTTATTTTCCATGAATCAGCAAATACAATTGGATCGCCAGTGTATTGATTTTGTCTTGTGGTAAAATCATCATTAGGGTTACCGTTATAGTTACCACAAAGTCCTCGAATTCGTCCAATATAGGCATAATTTGTGAGAGCAACGTAGACATTGTGATGTCTATGGTAGATGATTTCCAAACCAAAATTGGCTATTATCTGCACAGACTTATCCTTATGCACATTAATTGTTACACCTAAAATGAAGAACAAAATACTGATTACGAGGCTTATGAAATAATTTCAACTTTTGATTGATCTAGAATGTACGCCGCAGCCATTTGCAGACCGTAAGTGTGTAACAAGTCGATGGGTTCGATTATATATGACTATGATTATGATTATTCAGATCACTCCCCATCGGGGCTTTTCAGTGACCGATTACATCAAGTATTACGCTTACTTGTATTACCTACTAAGCTTATACTATTCATTTTTCACATGAGTCCACATACGAGTGCGTAGCGAAAATCAAACCCACGAGGTGAAAGGCGCTTGCTCGAGGGTCTTAATGGGGGTCTTTGGGTGTCAGTTGTCAGCTAAAATTTAAACCAGTTGTCAGTAGTCAGTGCGATATATTGCAAGCTGTCAGTAGTTAGTTACTGCAAAAAAGCTGACTCATCATTTTTTTATCACTTCTCAGTCGTCAGTTAGGATATTTTGTCAGTTGTCAGTCAAAAATTCAGGCAAATGTCAATAGTCAGTTAACCCCATTCAGACCTCTTGCTCTGATGACTGAGCCACCGAAACCCCTTGAGGCATTCTTGGGTCGGTTTAGAATGCAATGTGACGGGGGGAAAGTGCTAGTGGATTTTCTTGCATGACCTGAAAGAAGAGAGTCTTGGAGCAAACTCGCCCGGGAAAATTTCAAACATTGCTTGTGAGTGAGTCTTAGATGAAGTAGGTTTTACAAATTTCAAATCAATAACTGAATATGGCAAAACATGCATTAACTTTTTGCGACTTGATATTTTTAACTAAAGATTTATAATTTTTGAACTGAGCGCGGCGCACACCACTTGGACAGCAAGCTCATCTTTTCTTTAAGGTCATGTTACACGGTGCAATTTTTCTTGCAACTTGCAATGCAATTCTACTCTTGAGAGATGTAAAATTACCAAATACGAGTCTTCATTACACTCCGCTGATGTTTTCTCAACATATCGAAAATTCTTCACTGAGTTCACTAATTGACATCTCTCAAGAGCAGAATTGCATTGCAAATTGCAAGAAAAATTTCACCGTGTAACATGGCCTTTAGTAGTGGAACAGTGGGCATGCAGAAGCTGCTGGGGTTGATAGTCCACGACGCTAAGGTATGGGTGGGTTTCAAGCCGTCCCGCCTTTGAAACCAAGGCTTAAATTTAGATTGAAATAATGAGAATCTTTGTTTAAATGCCCTCGATTGTGCACTGGACAATGGAGCATGAAAAAGCTACCTATTAAAACATTGCCCAATCAAATATATGAATAACTATATAGTTAGAGAGCTTTTAAGTTACATTTTGAAAAATCCTTGAAGTTAACTATAAACTTTAATTTTCATTTAGAATAATTGAAATACCTCTATTAAACGGACCAATTCGATTCTATATCATTTTGTAAAGTTGTCAGTATTATCAGCTGTTGACAAATAGCAGACAAACGCGGCTACATTCAACAAGTATTTGTATTTCATTTGTACATAGGTACTCATACGTTCACGTTTTGAAATTAGTTAAGTGTCATCATCTCCACTTTAGCATTTATATTAAATAATAACTGATCTAATTACCATTCTGTGTAAAGCTTCCTTCATATCTTTGGACTCCATTGTATAAAACTTTGATCCCATGTGTTATAAGAATATGTACGCCATTAATCACCACATTCAGAGAGTACGTACATGACGGCACCTGGTTACCACAGCCAACATTGTCTTGTATGATCAGGAAAGTATTTCCAATATCTTTAGCAAGAACATATTGGCATTTGCCTTGGAAGTCATAACGTTTCCCATCAAAGGTTCTGTAGTGAGGATCACCAGTTGCAGAACACACCACTTTATTTGCTATAAAAGTGAAAAAGTTTATACTGCTGGGACCAGTTATTCAATGGCGGGTTACCACTAACCCTCAGTTAAAATTTAACCCGCTGTTTCAGTTTATGTATCTCTGCACTTCTGATTACTTCAGAACTTCCGAGAATTAAACTTCTATGAAATCTACTATTTGCTACAATTAAGGTGGCTTGAAACAGTGCAGCAGATCGATATCGAGATGTTCATATATATTTTAATGTTTCTTCTCTTAAATTTTTGGTCGAGAACTCATAAATTATTACTGTAGTAACACACGGATAGGAAATGCACTAGGTCTGCGTCTATAGTTAGAAAAGATGCACAGTGGCCGTCAAGTTTTTTGTGTTTCATTTTGCTTAGACTCTCGTGCAATAAGTAAAATATTTAAAACGCAAAAATGTCGTTTTCTTAGATATTTTTTGGCAAGACAGAATTTCTTTAGTGTTGGTAAATGAAGTTTTGCGGAACAATAGAGCGTGCAAATTGTGCACGTATACAGCTATTTCAATTAAGGTTGTCCCCCGAGCAAAGCGGAATAGTCGAATACGAGCGCGAAAGGCTGCTGGGAATCGCTAATAAATGAATGAATTTATTAGCGATTCCCAGCAGCCTTTCGCGCTCGTATTCGACTTTTCCGCTTTTCTCGGGGGACAACCTTAATTGAATAGCTGTATGCCCCCGTATTCCCCGCTGACAAAGGTCTTTATTTGTGCCGGAAAGCGAAGGAGAAGAGACCTCTGCCTAGATCTGACACTTCTCAATCCATGATGGTGGACGAGTCAAACCAGTTTGTAAAACAAGTTCTGAATCCATACCGGTTTAGGGAAACAAACAGCACGCATACTCAGAGCTGAATTAACTGTAATGACATTGCGCTAGTAGTGTCAAAATGGTGGCTTGCCCAGCGTGGTCATTTCGAGGTTTTTCATGTTGTTTGAAAGTGCTCTAAGTTCATGTAAAAATATATATATTTTCAAAGACGAAACTATGAAAGCAGTGATAGAGGAACAAAAGAAAGCAATATTTTATGTTTTATCGGACCGAGATACATTTGTTTGCCTTCAAACTGGGTACGGTAAGTCTTTCATGTACTAAGTTGCTTCCGCAAAAACCAGTTTGATATCACATGGCGAACATCACTCGTTGCCATGGCAATTTTTGCACATGCGCGACAGAAAATGTGTCAGATCTATGCAGAGGTCTCTTTTCCCTGGCTTTCCTGTACAAATAGAGACCTCTGTCAGCAGAGAAGTCACCGTACAGAATATTTAACAATTATTCGTCGAAGGCGAAGTTTTTACTGGTATTCATCGGGACGAAGTCGAGAGTGAATATTCACCGTAATCACGTCAGCAGGGAAGTCACCGTACAGAATATTTAACAATTATTCGCCGAAGGCGAAGTGATTACTGGTATTCACCGAGACGAAGTGGAGAGTAAATATTCACCGTAATCACTGATCTTGAGGTAAATAATTGTTTTAGTATAAACTTTTAATGAATGAATCAAAATATTCGAATATCATATCAGTTCAATTGAAATTCAGAAACAAAACTGTTTTCGGCCGGTTCTCGGTTACTGTCACTGATAGTGTTGTAGTGTTTCTTGTACGCACACGCTTTCAAACGTAAACTGACTTCTTGTGACTTTATTGCTTTATTACAAAGTTGTTTTTCTCGATTTCTGCTTAGAATATAAACACAATAACGGAATGACTTTTTCACCAGAAAATAGTTCCTGTTTAGGATTATTTTTTTCAGGAAATGGCTGAGAAATTTGGGAAAATGAAATGTAATACTATATCGTTCGAAATAAAGTTTTAATAACACTTTCCACTTTACAAGTTTCCGGCGCAACAGTCGGGATCGGTTAATTTTTGCTATTTTTTTGAAGTGAATGTTCCGGAGTTTTAAATTAAATAAGTTTTAAATTGCCCGTGAATATGTTTGACACAGTAAAATAATAAAGGAACCCTACCTTTCAAGTTAAATACAACATTTTGTGCTTCTTTCGTTTTCTGGGGACGATTTTTTCAATATTTTGTCGATTTTGAAACCAAATTTGCCGAATCATTCTTCTTGAAAAGCGTTATTTACTATAGTCTGCTAGTAAATCTGCTACTAGTCTGCTAGTAAATAATGCGTCAGATTTACTAGTCAACTAGCCAATCAGAACACGCGAAATGCAAAATATGCAAAATTTATACTAAATAGAATAGTGCAATGTTTTTCAAAAATTGACATTTTTAATCATGTCCGCATCAATTGACGATTCCCCTTATTACGCTTTCGTAGCGCTTTGCATTGTGGTTATAGTGGTATCACTGATATTCAAGATGGTTTATTTTCTGTCGTGACCCGTGCAAGAACTTTTAAAAAAAGCTAGAGTCAGGTGCGCGACAGCCAACAGCAAAATATTCGCGAAAACCTTGATATTTTCATTCGAGACCGCTATCTTTATCAGTGATACCCGCACAATAACCACAATGCAAAGCGCTACGAAAACGTAATAAGGGGAATCTAGAATTGACATGCAACTACTATACGCGCTATGTAGAATACGTAACAATAAAAAAACCCTAAAAAGTTTTACAATACCGGTGGCGTTAGTTTTTATTTTTCAACAAGTATTAATTTTGAATTAGGATAACGTTTTTGAAGGAGGTGAACAGCTATCATGCGACCATTTGATCAAACCCGTGAAAGTGTAAACAACATTTATAATTATTAAGAGGACCTTTACTGTCTTACTCTATCAAATTACTGCTTTTAATTGTTAACTCCACTGAAACGCTACTAGATATATTCTGTCAGGATTGTAAGTATTCTATGGTCCTTTTTTAATTAAATATATAATTAATAATAATTTCTCGCAAAACATTGAAAAAAAAAGAAATTAAGAAGGAGGTTTAATTTTCAAGTAACTGAAATTTGCTTTGTGAATCTTATTTCATGTCTTTTATCTTTAATGATTCAATTTGAAAACATTAATTGAAATTTAAAAAACAGTCCTTTTAAAACTGATGCTTTAAAACTGATACATTGAAAACAGTCATTTTAAAACTGATGCTAAATATTGTGTTTTAACTACCTTAACCATTTTCCAAGGGATAGCATACTGTATCTCAGACCCTATAGATTTTAGTTGTTGGAAGGCTAAGTTAAAGAGATAGTGACCGAGTTGTGGTATTTACATAAACACATTTATTTTTTATCAGTGAAAATGAAGCAATCTGATTGGCTGAGGAGCCTTTCAGAGCGGGCCGGTTTTTTGCATCCGGCCCGCTCTGAAACGCAACTGCCCGCTGTGAAATGCAACTGCCCGCTCTGGTTTTCGCGGCAAAAACTGAGGAGTGAAACAATTTTTACACGAAAAAATCTGCCAAAAACGTTTGAAAAACATAGCCTAACGATAGTCAGAATACAAAAATGAATTGCATCAAGCCCTAAAGGCTTCATACTAAGCACGATGTTCACGAGAATTGGCAATACTTTGATAGAAATGCGACTGAAAGTCGGAAAGTAGTTGACATGTATAAAACTTTATACGTCGAGAAAACTATATATGTTTTAAATGCTCATGTATTCGGCCACTTAAAAGCGAAAAAAATACAGCTTAAACAGATATTGTAAAATAAATGTTTTCCCATTTAAAAGAAGGTTTAACGGCAGCAGTGAAAACAACTCACGATATATTCTCTACCCATTTGTGTCATGTATTTTTCACTGATATAAATGTTGTAAACAAAGTAAAAGTTTGTGTTTAAAAACACTTTTTTCAAGCATATTATCGTGAAACGACAAGAAAAAATACAAAAATATAAAAATAACATACCTTTTTCATTGTCCTTTCAGTAGAAAAACGTTAATTAAATCAAAACAGATTTATTTTTATATGTTTTTGATCGGATCTGAACATGAACCTGTCGTTGTCAGGAGCAACTTGTCAAAGCCAAAGCCAAAACGCCAGGCATAAAAGATTTTATTCCAAAGCTTCTCTCAGTTCTCTGCTACGATATTCATGAAAAAGCATGTACATTTTTGCTGAAACTATACGTCTTTTTGTGTGTTTCTTGGCAGTTTTCTCGAGTTTTCGTATTCGTGTTTTACATCTTTTAACTTTTCAATTTTTGTCAGCCTCGCCACAGATGAGGTAATTATTTACCTCATCTGTGGCCTCGCTTTGAAAATACACAACTGCACTGATCTCAAATTAGTTCGCAAGCAACACTGGAATTTTAATCAATTTAATTTTTACATCTGATAAAAAATAAACACGTTATTTACCGGCAGCGTCGGTCCGGATGAGAAAAACTGTGCCCTCGGTCTTGAAAACGTCCCTCGCCCTTCGGGCTCAGGCCGTTTTCAAGACCTCGGGCACAGTTTTTCTCATCCGGACCTCGCAGCCGGTAAATAACATATATATCTGTAAGTACTTAACTGTAGAAATGCAGTCCTAGGGATGGAGAAACCACGGACGAATTCTTTAAAAAGGCCTTGAGTATTGTGGTCTTTTATTTTGTATACTGTACCTCCATAGCATCCTTGCATGAGAGCAACAGCTACCAAGGCAACACCAAAATACAGCGAGGACGACATCTCCTAAATTGAAAATCGTGCTATACTAAATAATAATAATAATAATAATAATAATAATAATAATAATAACAGTAAGATGTATTTGGTGCTAAAATTTAAGTCTGTATAACAGCGAAAGTACACAAATATAACAACAAAATACAAAATAGTAAAGTTAGACAAATTAGTATTTTTGGATTCGAAATTACTATGTATACATGTATATATAGGAAATGCATGCTGCACTCACTTAGTATTTTATATTCGTGACCGGACTATACTCCAATGAGGACCTACCGTGTGCCATAATGTACTGTAACTTATAAATCCTGAACCGTGAAGCCATCTTAAGTTAGCGTTCATGCTCAACTGCTACAACCATTGAAGCATTAAAAACCGAAGTATAAGACAACGAGAAATTGAAAAAAGGAAAGCATGAATTGTACTACTTTATACTACAGTTTCTTTGTTAGCTTCCAAAATGTCTTGCACAATGAAATAAAACTGATGAAAAACCTCTGCATCAGCGGACTACAGGACTTGGAAAAACGAAATTCAGAGAAAATAGCTCGAGAATGGATGTTTTATATCAGTTATAGGCTAGTAAGTCACAAGTAAATATTCTATACATTATCTACTTTGGTCTTGGCCGTAAATGTTTAGCAAATTAAAAGTCTTTTACTTACATCTGTTTTTGGGGTCCAACTTCGCTGTGATACTGGATGGTGTCAATGAAGATATAGCGCTGTAACGCGTCCTACTCGTGTATTTATATTGTATAGCTAGCTTAATTAGCGCAGCTGCATGTTGAAATTTAAATTAACTTGGGAATTATTGTAGATTCAATTATTGTAGGTTCTTTGTTCATTGTCAATTAATCTCAATTTAATTCAAAACCAATATTAAGACAACAGTCAAAATATATAAATGATTGTGCAGTCCTTTGTGTTTGCATGGTTTCTAATCCACGGTATATGAATGTCAACGGCAATAATTACACAAATCCTGTTACTATACGAAGTGATAAAAATTATGTCGTTTTGCTGATAGATGGCAGTGTCAATAGTTTATTAATGCATGCAGTTGTATCATTGGCATACCTGGTGTATAATTAGTTAATATATTAATATAGTAGTAATGATAATTGATATATGTCACTAGGAAACATGAGTTATTGCATGAGTTATGTTAAGCTGGCAAATTTGTTTCTCTCGCAACACGAAAAACTTTTATTCCTGAGTTAAGCTGAAGATAGGGCATTAATTTGCTGTAGTTATATAAGTAAACGTGCTGCATATATAGGTATATTTTGGATGCTGGTGTACTCTCCACTGTTTCTCGTGTTCTCGATCTATACTCCAATTTTCCCTCGCCAAAATGAAACGCTTCGCCTTGCGGTGTTGTCCTGTATATGTGTACCTTGAGCGCAATGGCTTGGATGAAGATAAACATGCATACACTGCGTATAATTGTAACTATAAGATTATATGGGCCTTCTATAGAAAAATCAACTCTCCAGCTGGCTCATAATTTAGTTTGTCGAGGATTTCCCCATCCAAATACTATTTCTTTGAACAAGGTGTTTAAACGTTTTCAAAAACCTATAATAATTATTATTAAGTATTCATATACTGAAGAATATATTTTACGCGGTTATATCCTTTCCATGCAAGGATGGCTCAGTTACATATAGTCCCAATATTTGCCTTTTCTGGAATAATAATTATATGTGTAAGACAATTGAACATGTTTGTTCTCACAGTACAACATTCGTGTCATCGCACTTTTATATTATATTTGACAATTGCATGCCGATTGCGTATGAATAATAGCTCCAATCCACATGCAGTTGTCATCCACGACCTCAAATACGAATCATGTTAGTGACAAGTGCAAAAACACAGTGATTACGCGAAAGGTAACTATGTTTTAGGGAAACATACACAACCTACTAAATTTAATATTTAATATCATGGCAAACCAAAGGTTTTGCACAATAGTACTGTAGTTCCAAAACAATTACACGCAATAGTAGTGCATGTAATCATAATGCGATTTTCACATTTGTTAATATTATAATAGCTATAGTGATAGAGCGTCTACACTCATTCCTCAGCCCCCCCCCCCTGCCCTTGGCGGCGCCACACACCCGCCATTGCATTTTCCTTTCCATGCACATAACGAGAAAAATAGAGAAGGGAGCGTTTGTACATGACGTCACAGTCGCCATGTTGGTGCTCCAATTCAAAATAATTCAGTTAGACTCTATTGTCTGGAACACCAACATGGCCACAATGGCTTTTGTTGAGTTGGGGGGGGGCTCAAGGTTTTTCGCACTTTAGTTTTCATGCAAGTCGTCCAAATCCGATGAAAGATAAGGAGGGAGTGTGGAAAACTGTCATCAGACAGTGTTTCGTGTATTCATGATTGATAGGTTGTTGTTCTATGATGAAGTACTTTATCATGAGTATAGTTAAAGAAATGCCGTCCAATATTTCCAAAATGATTACATGGGAAATATCGTTTATATAGATAATAACTTTGCGGACCATCAATGACGTACATGTTAATTATGTTGTCTTAGTTCATTGCCATGCATACAGACATATTGTATTGAAAAGAAATTAGCAGATAAAATTCATTACAAAAACACCTATATTACCAGGCAACACGAGGTATACAGTATAATTCAATAAATATTGCATATAGAAGTTGGCACAAGCTGTTCATGCAGTCTAGTTTTTCACATGACATATCTTGACATTAAGCACACACACACACATATATATATATATATATATATATAGATATTTCGTATATTTATTACTATGCAGTTTCGTACCACGTAAATAACGTGGCATTCTTCAGATAAAATAGCCTATGTTTGACCTCTAGCTTCTAACAAACTTTTCAAATATGTACAGATGCTAAAGGATGCTTATCTAATTACAAATCAATTAACACCTTAAGTAGTGTCACGAAATATTAGTATCAAGTCATAAAGTTTTTAAGTAAAAATTTTTTTAGCATATATATGTCTACACGTGGAGACAAGTTCGTGGCGACGATTAAGTGTTGCAACACTTACTTTTTTTCGTTTCGTTCCGAAATGTGAATGATCCTTTCCTTAAACAAGTTAATGAAGACATTAAAAATGTTAATTCTTCCAAAAACGTTTTTGTATTCGCTGACAAGACAACTAATGTTCATGAGATTAATCCAGAATCTTATAAAAAACTACTGACAAAGAACATAACAAGAACTTATAAAATTGATAATAGCAACATAACAGATGATATTAACGAGGAGCTCCAGGACATTACTAACAATCTCTCCATCGGAAACCGTGTTGATGTTATGGCTAAACGTGACGCCTTCATTACAATAAAAGATCATAAAGAAAACTTCCCTTTCAATGTAAAATGCCGCCTGATTAATCCATCAAAATGTGAACTTGGAAAAGTCAGCAAAGTCATCCTTGATAATATCAACGATAACATCCGATCAGCTATAAATGTTAACCAATGGAAATCTCCAAGTCTGTTATTGACTCGTTCCAGAACATCGAAGGAAAACCCAACCATGCATTTTTATCGTTTGACATAGTTGAATTTTATCCTTCCGTCACAGAAGACCTCCTTGACCGCGCCATCGTTTGGGCTAGATCTTTAATAACAATCCCGGAAGAAGATATTTCTATAATCAATCATGCGCGAAATAGGACTGTTCGGTATACCGATATACCGAAAATATCGGTATTAAATCAATATCGGTATGTCGATACAGGATATTCAGCCATACCGATATACCGAAATTTCCGATATACCGGATTTTTTCGGTATACCGTGTTACATTTACCAACTATATGGCAAAACCATAACCTTTATTTTACTACTGAATGGCAATTCAAAGAACTTTCTACTGAAATGATTTAGATTTCGAAGCAGCTTCGAAATTATCGTTTTCCCTTTTAGAATTACTCAAAATTTCCTTCAAATTTCCACTAAAGAATTTTCCTTCATAATTATCAAAGGATAACCGTTATACCGATAACATCGGTATAATTTTTTCGGTATACCGATACCGGAAATTTCTCATACGAAAATTCCTGGCGCGAAAATCACTTTTGTTCAACGGCGATACAGCTTGGACAAAGCGAAGTAGCGATTCATTATTTGATGTAACTATGGGGGGGGGGGGGCAGCTTTGATGGAGCGGAGATCTGTGAATTGGTTGGTTTGTTCGTTCTGAGTAAGCTGGCGGAGAAGTTTGGTAAAGAAAATGTGGGGTTATACCGCGACGATGGCCTCGCATTAATTGAAGGCGTTAACGGAAGAAAGGCGGAAGTCAAAGCAAGAAAGATGTTGCATGACATATTCGGTCAAATTGGTTTGAAGATACTGCTCAGGTTAACAATTAAGTCAAAACTATATATATATATATATATATATATATATATATATATATATATATATATATATATATATATATATATATATATATATAACAGGTTGTGGTGTGTAGACCTCATCAACGTGTATTGAAAGCGCTCAATAGGTATACTAGAGCTATGTAGAGTTAAGAGAGACTTCTTACTTTAAAAACATTTTAATCGCTACTCCGAGTTTCATGCTGAAGCAATCATCAGGCGAATGCCGATCGAATATGTTACATGTCAAGTTCATTGATAAACAAATTAGAATAAATTTAAAATGCTAAAAAGTCATATTAAATTTGTATAAAATCTAAGTATATGGGTTCATTGTTGTATTGTTTCACGGATGGATTAAGATAATGTTTATATGCTAAGTGTTAAAAACTATAGTTCATCGTTCTAACTAAGTAATTGCATTGTCCAATAAAAATTTCTTTGAATGTCTACATTCCGACATAAGGTCACTTCTTTTGTTGAGCGTTTCAGTCTTACGTTGACGTATTATATAATATTTCTCCCACAGGCACAAGTTACATTTTTTGCTAACGTTGGTGTATGATCTAGCTTGTCTTACTTGCTTCCACTTGATTTGGTATTTGAGCTTTTGGTCTTTCAGGTTCCATATGTGTTTACTTAACTGCGTTACGTTGAACGAGCATGATTGAACGAGCATTGGTGATTGTTATACCTAAACTTGAATTCAGTATCGCAAAGTCCGACGTACGTTTCTTGCGAATCCTCCGTAGTTACTTCAGCTTGGTATATTATGCTGTCAGCCTGACAGTTCTTGTCCATTGGGCAAGGACGTTTTTGCAATTGCAATTTTTCGTTGTATCGGCGGTGGCCTTTGGTTTGGATAATTGAGATTTGTTGTGGCCCGAGATCATAGTTTTAATGTTATTCATACAACTGTAGCTTAGTTTGAGGTTGTGGCGATCAAATATTTTGCTGAGTGGGTTTGATTTTGGAAAGTGACGGTCGATTAATTCGAGGAAACATTTTCCTACATTGGTTTCAACATTTCTACTGTAGGATGGGTTAAACCATGTAATGTTCCTAGGTCGGTTTCTGTGTGTTTGCGGTGCATCGTTATATCTTAAGTTGTAGTTGTAGCCACTTTTGTTCAATGCATCTTGATATAGGGGTTTGGCTTTGTTGAAGCAATCTTCGTCTGACGATAGTTCTGAGAGGCGTTTGTTGATGGCTTCAGGGATGTTTCTCAAAATTATTGGGGGGGGTGGTTAGATTTTACATGCACGTACGAGGGAACGTTTCCTGGTTTGGAGTACGGCCAATGTTTGCCACTTTTTAGATCGAGCGTGACATCCAAAAAATTGACAACGGTTACGTTAGCTTCGATTGTGATCTTTAAGTCGTTCTCGCGAAAGGTTTTACACAGATCTTTTTTTATTCGTTCAATCCCTTGTGGTGTGTGTTGGAATGCTGATAGGCCGTCGTCTCGATAAAGTCCGATGTTCTGGCCGTACTTTTTTGTAAGGATGGACAGGAGATAGCACCCTATCAGCTCACACGTTTCTGCTCCGTCGAATGATCCCATGGTTACATCAAATTTGTTGTTTGAATTTTTCTTCTCCCATGGTTTGCCATCCCAAAATAATAGCGACTGTTTTGTATGTAGGATGATGTCGCGTTCTTGCTTACTGATGTGTCGGTATTTGCTGGCGAAATCTAATGCTTTATTCAGTAATTTCTCGGTTATGGATGGGTAGAAGTCACAAACGTCAAAAGATATAAACGAGAGCGATTTTTTGTTTTCCAAGTTGTTAAACCATCTCAAAAGACTTGATGTGTTTTTCCATTGGTTTATCTGTGTTGCGTTAATAATTGCTGCATTTATTTCGTCGAGGATGTGTTTGCTAATTACACCGATCTCGGATTTGGTGGGGTTGATTAAACGGCATGTAGGATGGTTTTGGAATTCGGGGTTATGGTCTTTCAAAGTTATAAAGGCTTCTTTCTGTGCTAGCACTTCGATTCGGTCATCTAATTTAAGCTTCCTCGATATACTAGCGGCTTTCTTATTGATTTGTTTGACAGTTTTATTAGTTGACTTCTTGTATGTTTTGGTCACATTTTCGGTGATGAGCTTTTGATAACAGGATTTTTGCAATGCGTAAAAATTTGTCGTTTTATCCGCAGGGACAAGTACCGTGTCTGGTTTCTTGATGTAGGTCTTGACATCATTGTTCAATTGTTTCTGAAAGCTGCATTTTACAGGTCTAAACTTGATGTTCTGGATCATGGTTAGCATGTCGTCTTCAAAAGGTTTTAGCTCAGTCACTTGTTTGGGAGGTTTTCTGGATTTGAAACCATACGTTTCTTTTGTCGAGCTGTCTGTTGGGTTAAAAAAGAAATGTGCTTTCCAGCGCATTCGTCTAAGTAGTTGTTGTGTTTGTTCAATGAATCTTTTCACGTATTTGGTTTCTGATGGCATCGGAATGTTTTTGGTGGAATAACCAAAATTAATCTTCTCCATTGTATTAATAGACGAAGTATGTGGTAGGAGGCTCAACAGGAAGGAGCAAAATATAACAGGTTGTGGTGTGTAGACCTCATCAACATGTATTGAAAGCGCTCAATAGGTATACTATATAGAGCTATGTAGAGTTAAGAGAGACTACTTAGTTTAAAAACCTTTAAACGACGGGCAGCTTAAAAACCTTTAAACGACGGGCAGCTGCTGAGTCCAAGCCTCCTGTGTTTAAACACAGCTATTGAATTTGGCTTTTTTCGAAATTCTCCATTGTGCATAGGAGCCTGGGACTCAGGAACTGCAGGTAGTTTAGAGTTGCAATAAATAAAAAAAGGTTGTACACATTAACTAACTTTTTACGCTCTTTTTAAATCCATAAAGGTCCCACAAGTGAAATAGGCCACTATGTCGGATTTTCTTGTTATTGCCACTGTTTCGAGTCAAACTAGTGACGAAACACCTCAAAATATAGAAAGTGTGATAACTTGAGAAGTGCATGGAATAGATGCGAGTAAGGTGTAAACATCATTCATCATCACTTGAGCAGTACCTTTTAATAAAATAACAAAAAGATGGGGCAAAAATCGCGTTTCGTAACTTTTTTTCGCCATATTTCACATAATCACCTCAATACAGCTTTCTTGTTTGTGGTATAGATAAACATTTAGTTGGTTCAGAAACTTGATTAACAGGTTTTTTTGCTTGTGATATTTCGTCCTATCAAATTCACGGATGACGCCGTCAGTTTTTCCTAATTTGGTATGCAAATTCGAAACCTGTTTCAGCTAGGATATTTAGTTTGTTTTCATTGCATCCGAAAAATCTGAAATTATTTGCCGTTAGAGAAGCTAAACGCAAGTAAATCCTTCATAAAGGACAAGGAAATCTGTTTTTTGACGTTTGTTATATAAAGAAAATCCTATTGAATAACTTATACATATAATCCGGCCGAGCATTTTACTCGTTTTTGCATTTTTCTTCGCCCATTTAGGGTTCGGAAAATATGAGCGAAACTAATAAAAAAATCCGCCGGATTATATGTTAAACCGTTCAAAAAGATACATGTAGTAAAGTTGTTGCCTTCAAAAACCTTGTCCTCATTCTGGTTCGCACTTCTCCTTACTCGTTTATTCTTTGTTCTAACAACCTCAAAAGTGAAACATAAAGTACGATACCGTAAAAATGAAAATGGCTTTAGCCACTCTGATACCAAACCATGCAATATAGTACCATAAAAATATTGCAATACTAATATGCAAAATTTTGACATTTCTTTGATTTGTATAAGCCTTTTCTCCCTCCTTTATGTAGACACGTGTGTGAAAGAATATTATGAAAAACTTGGAGAGGAACGAGATGTTTATTCTGCAAAAGGGCCATGTCTACTTGTCATTAGATCACAGCAAGATAGATGGCTGCGCCTATGGTTAAATTCAGTTGTCATTTCTCCAGGACTCTTCGTGCTTGTTAAGCTAAAAGGCATTTCAGGAAACGTAATAACAAACTGGACATTGGATTCAAAAAATCCAAATCGCGTGAGAAACTTTGATTCCCTGGAGCAAGGCAATTGGTTTGAGATAAATCATACAACCAATGTCCCATTTGGCTTTAAGTTCAAGTCGCACAGTGCATGTTAGTACAAATATTCTATTATTATTATACTATTATTATTAATGTTACCATAGACTCGGTAGGAGGATTGTGCTTTTCGTGCTATAAATTTTATCGTTTGGCGATAAAGTTGATATTTTTCATTGAATTAGCCTTTCTCACGCCGCCACTTTTGGGTGGCTTTTCAGCCGAAGTCTGCGAGATAAGTCCACATAACAACCACTTTTTATCATTTTTTGGATGAATGATGTTAAACTTGCTCCGTAAATGGTTATTTTATTGTGAAAAATTGCTTTTCACGTTGTTTCAATTGTCTGCATTGTCTGACCAGAATTAGATGCCACCCAAGAGTGGATGTTCGTCATCGTGAGAAAGGCTAATTGCTTCTGATGACAATATATCGACGAGTACTTACCTCCCTCTTTAAAGCTGAAACCACCATTGAAATCCTCATAATATAACCTTTCGAATGGGTGGTTCAAATTCAGGAATAACATTACACAAACAAAAATAATCGCACAATTTACTAACCTCCTGGCCAAACATTACGTATTTCATATCGAGAAAATCTTGAAATGTCTTGAACTCTTCGGAATTCGCGACATGCCAATGTAAGTAAAATACTCATTGTGTTCAAGGGCTTTCGTGTAGAAAATTTCGTTTGAATAGGCCAGTAGGAATACTTAATTTGAATTTTTCAAAATATTGTTTTTTTACTCGCACGCCCGCATCACACGCTAAAATTGGCTGATAATTAAGGAGCTCCTGTAACCCATACACTTAAAAATCACGACGTAAGTGTAATTTGACCTTTATAAACGATTTCCGATCTTTCCCGAGTGATGCGATGTAAACATGCAATGTTTTGACAAATCTGAAGTGTATTTCCGGCTGAATTTGAAGCTCTTGCGTAAAATTTGGCTATTTTGAAATACCGAAATAAAAGATGCAAATCTGTAGAGACAAGCTTGAAAATAACACTGTAGACAGTGTCTTGGATTGTGATATGAACAAGACTATTACGAAAATTGTATGTAGAAAGGGGCCGAAATTATGATCGGCATATGCCTTGGTAAACATTGTTTACTTTTTCGGGATTATTGTGTAATCTAATGAAATATGAAATCGCTTGCCCTCTAAAGGTAGTAAATCGCTAAAATGTTGACATTTTACTAAATCAATGTATAGGAATTTTTCTACTGAATCGAACGGAGTTATTTTCTTCTACATAGCATGCACTGAACCAAAGATATGAACCTCTAAAAAACCAGGTCGCGTCCACGTCTTGGTTTTTGGCACCGGATGAAGGAGAGTGGCTGCTCGTCTCCGCCTAGGAATATTGATCTCCTGACCAAATTAAAATTCCACCCCCGTTTTACTCCAACTACGTGCGATTGTTTTGGTTTATGTAATCTTTTCACGGAATTCAAACATGTTGAAAATGTTATTTTGTGAAGTTTTCAATAGTGTGTTTTGTTTTAAAAGGGAGTAAATACCTGCTCAAATATTTGGACATAAAGAACTGAACCTTAAATATCAAATTTTGGCTTTACTGAAGAATTTTTTTCTCCATTTTATTCGATTAAGTGAGGTTGATATAATTGAATATATCTTTATTGATTTTCAAATCAAATTTGCTGGATTATTAATTGCTCTTCTAGTTGCCAATCAGAACACGTGAAAGGCTCATTTGGCATGCCAAATTTACACTAATGCGAATAAATAGAATGATAACTACTGGATCTAGGAATTTTCCTGCCGTTTTTCTAGGTGTTCGACCGTTACATGAAACCTTACGATTTAGGGCGGCGACGCAACGGCAACGGCTACCAATACCAATAAATCCAGCCTAGTCCCAGGCTTTCTTTCTGTATGCTGTTTTCATATAATTTAAATAAGTCTGCATGGTGTGCTGTGCGGAACGCTTCAGCGAGAGAGCCTGGCAGATTTCAGTAAAATGGTCGGCTGACTTCAAAAAAGTGGTCTCTTGGCTAACCAGCCAATAAATAGAAAATGTTGTGGAAATTTTTTTTGCGTTTATAATGAAGTCATTAGTTTTGGTCTAATGCTCTCAGAACAATGAAATAGGCTACGTTTCACTACCATACGGTCAGAATGGAATAACGAGCTAAATATGACTCGTGTTTACTAAAATCGTTATCTTAAAATTAGTTTACTCAGTATCGTAAATTTGTAAATATTTTTTTTTAGATGAGCACATTTTTAATACAGTTTGAATTTGGTTATGTACCGTAGACATCGAATATGATCAACGAACATTGTCGTATTTACAAAAATTACCAGTTAAAACTGGTAATTTTTTTCTAGTTTTAGTAGCTGTTGTTTAACTCACGCCATAGACATGGTGGGATTCCCAATTGAATCGAAACTTTGCCCATGATATACGCGCTCGAGAACGTAGGTTATGGAGATAGTAGAGACATTACGATTCTAGGACAACAACCCGACGATGACGGCGAAAACAAATTCATTGAAATAAATGGTAGTAAAGATAATTCGTCGTATATGTTATCCGTCGTGTGAATTTAATACAGTCTTAGAAGTTGAAAACATGGGTTTTATATCGTTGGGAAGACATAATTCTGTTGATATCAGTTTGAGGTTCCACTTGTCGCGGCTTGAAATGCAGCTGTTGTATCAAGACGTAAAAATATGTGGTCTGAGAGAATGACTAAATTATATTGTAATTGTTTAATTATTTTCAATGATTTATTGTACACTAGTCCCAGTCGTTTTGAAGCAAGCACGAGAAAAAACACGGATGTAGTGCAAGACTGGAACTATAGGTGTGACGCCACAGCTAAAGGTGCTTCAAAACGCCTAGCAAATTTAAGTATTTTTAATATGGCGTAAAATTTGTATATATACAAATAACGTTGTAAATACGACAATGTTTGTTGCAACCTTAAAAAGTTTCGCCGTTAGCAGCACAGCATCTTAGACTATGTTATAGACTCTACTAATATAAGTTTTACTCTTTCAGTATGTGTGATTTATAAACGACGCGCAATTGGTTCGGTTATTTGAATCGTCTTTGGACTAGGAGTTTTACGTAGGGTATATCAACAGCCATACATGTATAATTTTTTTCAAGGGACATCAATTGAATGAACAATCAATACTTTTGTTATTGCAGACAACTGTCCACTCTACAAAATATCTGAGGACCACGAGAGCTGCTTCTCTTCCCCTGGTTTTCCTGACAATTTTCCTCGCAACGGTAAATGCGAGATTTACTTCAGAGCCAAGGATCTTGATAAAGTGATTCATCTAAGATTTTCAGAGTTATTCTTATCTGGCAATGATTCCGTAACTGTTTTTGATGACCTATCTGACAGTGGAGTCAACGTATCGTACTCGAGGGAGAAAAAGCCAAATGTGTCTGTTACGTCGAAAGGTCATTCCGTTCGTGTCGTCTTCAATTTCGAAAGCCCCGAGACAAAAGTCGGCCTAAGATTCAGGGTTCTCTATCAAGCTTTAACTCCAGGTAAAAGTTCGATCGAGTTTTTATCATTTATATGGTTTTCCCCAATTTTCAACATTAGGTAATCGATCACCTCATGCAGATTACAGAAGCATCTGACATAATAGAACAGATGCAATTACTAAGTATTTCTATTTTGTGTATCAGAGTTATTCACTCGAGGGTTGCATTTGTTGTGCCATATACGTTTCTTATAACTAGACCATTCGAATCTGGGCATATGAGGCAATTAACTAATGTTGCGTAAATAATAGAAGAACGTTTTTGATTAGTTGAAAAGCGCGCTCGATATGTAAAGATAATTAGAAATATATTTTATTTTGCAAACATGAAGCATTTGAAGTGGTTGTTACTATATAAAAACACGATAATTTTGTTCTTTTATATTTTTAAAATTGGGAGGAAAAAATCCCCCAAAGGTCACTTTTAATTACAAATTTATCAATTTCCCAAATATATATTGAAGGTATATGCGTATGTTTTATGCATAGTATATAAGCTTCAACGTAATGTAAAGTTGAATCACAAACGCTTCTCCACAAAACGCTTTAAAATGTCCTTAAATCTGAATTGCCTTTTATCGATGAACTATGAAATAATTTCAAATTATGCAATTTTGGCATGAAAATAACTTTTCTCTCCCCTTTATTTAAATATTTTTTTTATAATACAAGAAACGTAAAGAAGAGTAATTTATAGTGAAAGCGCTGCCTTTTTATAATACATCAATATTAATTAAAACAAACTTAAACAAGCTATATACACGTTTCACGTACACAATAAGCTTAAGTGTTAACCGCATACAAATTCAGTTTAGTTTAGCAGACTGCATGAGCTTTCAATAATTTCCCCTTGCATTTAAGGTTTTACCTAAGCGGCACACGTTTAAGTGTGCACTGCAATCGCCCATATAGCAGATTTCCCATTTGCCTTTTCTGCTTAGCAAAACTGGTGGAGTTCATTTAAAGTTTCCTTAAACTCTGATATGTTGCTCGAAGGGAAACACACAGAAAAACTAATCAGATTTAACGTAGAGGAACGTCACCAATTGCATGCTTAGCAGCCTCGCATCCACTTGCTTGACCTTCGCAGAGTTGTAGATTTCCAGCACAACTCTTAAACTCAGGCTTAATGACTGATAGTATATGGCTTTCCCAGTTCTCATCAGCACCTCCCCAACCCAAACAGGTTAGATTCTCATCTAATTGAATCAGGCGACACGCTTTATCAGCTACTAGATTAGTGTAGCGTCTCCCACTTTCAATTCGTTTAACTTCGTTAGCGATGGTGCTAACCTTTCGTGCAAGCACAGCAAGTGCATATCTACGACATTTGCCAACATTTCCAAAGTTCTTTTACACCAAAATTCTTCTCTATCCATCTGCGTCTAAACCGGACGGCCCACTTGACCCACTTGTGCGTAAAGCTAATTTCATTGATCGTTGAGTCTAAACCTTCTCCAAACTTATGCTCGAATGAAAGATAAATGCGGCAATGACGTTTTTAGATCAACATGCTAGCGCTGGTGCTGTCACATTATTCCAATGCACAACAAATGAAACGGAAAACCTAAAATGAATGATGCTAACTCTTCAATTCTCATTGATGGCCCATTATCTTTTTGTGGATCTTGTCATGTTTGTAAATATAACAGAGTCTACTATTACTTTCAAAGACTTTGAATAGCGTTGTCCGCAATTGACGTCACGAAAATTCGACCCCCCGCCAAGACTCAGACAAACATTGGCAACATTTAATATAAATAGTGTTACGATAAAGAGCTTGCTGTGAGTTAGTTCGATAGTTTGAAGATTTGTTTACAGTTTATTTGTGCAAAATCATACACACCTTGTATTTTTGGGTTTACCTGCGGTGCCAGTGGAAAATATTTTTGCTTTGGAAGTAGAAATATAAACTTTTTCGTCGCTTTAGTATCGACTGCCATGTCGTTTCTATTAATAGGTGGTGTCTACTGTGTTATAATAGTACATGGTTTGGCGCAACTGTTGCTATAAAGAAAGGGTATCCAAAAGAAAGGACGATAGAAAGTCTGTAGCAGATATTTAACGGAAAAATCGTGTATAGTCGTACCAGATTTCGTAGCGTAGCGAATCAGTTCTAAAGTCGGGTGCATTATTGAAATTTATTACTTTATTTAGCAAAGTCCAACGCCAAAGAAGCTAGGATTGTTTACTATAATCTATTGACAACATATTCAACTTACAAAATACGGATTTATTAGGAATGTAATTAAAATTAATACTTTCAAATTTAATAAACTTTTTTCATAAAATGTCAAAGATAAACCATGCAAACTATATAAAATCTCAAATATAAAATCTTCCGTTGACCAGTAAAAAAACTATTTTGCTTTGACAATAAAAAACAAAATTTTTATTTACCTATTTTTAAATATTCAGTTTTGTAAAATAGAGAACTGCCCTTTAACACTGTGTTAGCCTAATACTGTCTAAGTGTCTAGTGTCTGGTTAAACTATTGCTCCTCTCATAAAAGTAACAACAGACTCTCACTGAAAACGACGGCGTCTCAGACTTAGATATTTTCAGCATGATCCATCTGAATATACTGTCCATTTATATTAAAACTCAAGTGGTGGTTAAAATGTAGAGGCTTATAGCAAAGTGGTAAACGCCAAGTTCTTCTTCAGCAAGTTAGTGACTGCAGTTAATAGTTCGGGAAAGCATCGTTCGCTGGATGTATTGACGGGGGAACATGGTTAGCTGCGAAAGTTCTTGGAGAAAAACCAGCACAGTCCGCAGTCGATAAGAATCAACACACATTCCTGTCCGACTTTTCAATTCCCTGTTTCGGCAATTATTCTGAGTATTTTGAATCACTTGGACATGTTCCCCAGCAACAGCGCTTAGCATTAACCATGTTTGTAGTTAGGGATAAATTTCAATTCGTTTTAGCACAGATAAAATAAATAAAAACGTCAATTTAGACCAATTTATGTTCGCTGCTAGTACAATTCTATACAAAATGTTAGTTTGTTTCCTACAGCTCCACTTGGTAACATAAATATAAGTTCTTTCTCCAAATTACAATTTCGTCACAAATTGCATCTATTGTAAGATGAAAATCCTAATTTGTATGAGTTCCGGCCCCATACTTTAGAACTAGGAGATTATGCTAGTTATGACATTAGCATATACTTCAGCAGTGGCGTAGCCAGCCCAACAATTTAGTTCCGCCATGCAATTCAAAATTATTATCATAATTCATTTCTTTAGAAATTGAATTCGCATGGCGGGACTAAATCATCGGGCTGGCTACGCTATACTGTATACTTGATCTCGAATGTGCTGAGCTGGTTGTGATTGATTTGACTATAAACCTGCAAATTGTTTTCTACAAGTAAAGTACCTCACAGGGCATTTTTTAAGAATTCGTCAGTGGGGGGTGGGGCATCTACAAAAAGGGACCATACTATACCAAGTGTGGAAAAATGATAGATGGTTGTTGGTAACAACAAGTTTGGTGTGGTATGGCATCTAATAGTACGGGGCGGAGGTTCTTAGGGGTATTCTCCCCCAGAAAATTTTTGTATTTTTCTACCCCTATGACTTCACTTAATTCCTGCATTTTCTGAAACAGAATTTTGGATATACAGCATTACATAATGCTGTAGATAGATTTGAACTTTCAGTGAAGTACTTGCATGTTTATGTAGACACCACAACTTGGTCACTCAGGGAGCCAGCTTGATAAACTTAGAGGACCCAACTCCCACGAAGCGCCACCATAGTTAGCACAGAGCAGGGAAATTCTGAAAATTTTGTGTCTCTAAATCTTCGGAAATGGCATTTTCAAAGTCTTCTCTCTTCTTTTTTTAGGCCTTTTCATTAATTCTTTCATTATGATTTGTGAGTCTATGCTATCCGTGAGTCAGGATGGATTATTACGAGAAATGTTGTTATCAAAATATCGATTACAGAAATTTTATTATATATATATATATATATATATATATATATATATATATATATATATATATATATATATATATATATGTCTGGATGCGTTGATTCACCGTGTTGTACCACATGCCTTGGTGAGAGCAAGTTCATGGGGTATAAATACGATTGTCTCACGTATCTAGACGTGTACCAAGCTGCACTGACGAGGCGTTGGACGCCGAAACATGCATGTCTGCAGATTGTACTATATATATATATATATATATATATATATATATATATATATATATATATATATATATATATATATATATATATATATATATACTTGCCATGTCCTTCTGTAAAGGTGCTAGTGTAACTGTGTAATACCACTGCTTATTAAGTTCACAGGGTTCAAGAGCATTATGAATATCTATGCAACAATGTTCTCTTCCCACCACAAAACCTAGCTATATTTTGGTAAGCTTTCATTGATTTAACAAGGTTGTAAATTCTTCCAGTGATGTGAATTAACTTTTTCTGGTGGTGGGGAAAAAACAAAACAGTTGTTGAAACAAACTAAAAATTAGCATAATTTTAGGTACAATTTCCAATAATTTGCCTATTTATCATAAAGGTGTTAAATAACATCACCGAGGGTTGCACCGTGTAATGTATTTTTCACATCTACACATTAAAGACACTACTATACTGTATACACAACTATACACAAGCTCAATTATGAATTCTAAAATTTTAAATCAAAAATTTAATTTATTCTGGACCTCAGGGTGCACTTCAAAGTTCAAAGGCATTTACCTAAAATTTTAATGTTTAGAATACACTAAAGTGTAACAGTTATAATACACCTTTTTCTGAGTGATTATTATTATAATTACTGAGTTCTAGAACAAACAGGGAGCTGGTGCTGGTGTCGTCCACCAGAAAATTGCTATATTTTTAAAGCTCCAGAACTGCATTTCTGGCATTTTCTGAAGTGAATTTGTAAACCAATTGCATCCAATTTG